GAACAAGAACTACAGATGCAAGCATAACCAACAGATTACAAGAGATAGAAAAGAGAATTTCAGGAGTTGAGAATACAATAGAAGAAATAGATTCATTTGCCAAAAATGTTAAATCCAACAGATCCTTTTTATCTTCACTGACTGTCCAATATAGATGATAGAATATAATATTAATATATAACATAATGTCGAATAAATAAAGTGCATTTATAATAAGTTTAATACAGAAAAAAAAACAAAAAACAAAACAAAACAAAAGTTTTATTAATAGTTGGGCTTGTTGACTAATATATATCTCTACACCAGTGGTTCTCAACCTTCCTAAGGCTGCAACTCTTTAATACAGTTTCTCATGTGGTGGTGACCCCAACCATAAAATTATCTTTGTTGCTACTTCATGACTGTAATTTTGCTACTGTTATTAATCATAATGTAAGTATCTGATATGCAGGATATCTGATATGTGACCCCTGGGAAGGGGTTGTTAGCCACACTGGGGTTGTGACCCACAGCTTGAGAACGGTTTGTAAGCATTTGAAACCACTCACTGTTAAAACCCCTTCAAGAGAAAGTTTTCCTCTGTGTTTGAGGAACTGGAGTGTGTTTCCGAAGGACACTTTCCCAGTTTTGCCTTTCTTCCAGTTTTGTACTTTTTAGAGTATTGCTTGTCCCATTTAAAACTGGGATTTCATCTCCATTAAAAGCTGTAGGACTAAGAGGTGAAACCTTTACGAGCTGCAGGGGACTCTGCCCTCATGAATTGATCGGTCTGCGTCTACTTCACGGATCGATGGGGTTGTCTTGGGACTGAGCATGCACTAAAAGTCTGTCTGGCTGGTTCAACCCCACCCCCACCCCACCCCCGCTCTGCTCTCCAGTCATGTGATGGCCTGCCCTTTCTGAGGATGGAGCCGGCAAAAAGGCCATAGCTAGCTGCAACTCCTGAACTTTGGACCCAAAGTGTAAGCCAGAATAAACCTCCTTTAAACGGTTACCGCAGCTACTTTGATATTAGCAGCAGGAAATAGCCTGGGCTGGAGGTGTAGCCCAGGCTAGAACACTGGCCTCACATTCACAATTTCCAACGCCCTGAATTCAGTCAATTGCCAGTGCTTAGAAAGGAAGGAAGGAAGGAAGGAAGGAAGGAAGGAGGGAGGGAGGGAGGGAGGGAGGGAGGGAGGGAGGGAGGGAGGGAGGGAGGGAAGGAAGGAAGGAAGGAAGGAAGGAAGGAAGGAAGGAAGGGAAGAAAAAAGGAAGGGCTAAAAAAAATAGCCCTTCTATGCAGGGCTTTTAACCATAGATAAAAATGTGTAGTTTCTCATGATAGGCCCCTGGGAACAGTAAGCTAGCAGACACTTGACTTAAGCAAAGTCACGAGTGGCTGAGAAGTGTCCCAAAGGTTCAGATTGATAGCATCACCATGGCTGCTAGAGAGGATTCTTCTACAGCAAGATGCTGCTTGCCTCAGTCCAGATTAATATCTGTGGCTCAGGTTTATGACCCCAGGCAGCACTAAGCAAATAGCTCTAGATAGAAAGTTCATTAAACAATCAAAGATGAGGGGCCGGAGAGATGGCTCAATGGTTAAGAGCAGTGACTGCTCTTTCAGAGGTCCTGCATTTAATTCCCAGCAACCATTTGGTGGCTCACAACCATCTAGAATGAGATCTGCTGCCCTCTTCTGGTGTGCAGACATGCACGCAGGCAGAAAGTTGTATACATAATAAACAAATAAATCTTTAAAAAAATAGTCGAGGATGAAACAATGGGGATGACTATGTAAAGCCAACAGAATGGATTCTGTAACTGGTCTAAAAAAACTAATTACAGAAGTGCTGAAGTTCTAGAAGTAAGTATTTATACATGCTTTGACTCTTTTGAGACAGGGTCCCTCTATGTAGCCCTGGCTGCCCCGGCACTCACTTTCTCACTTTGTAAACCAGGCTGACCATGAACTCAGAGAAATCCTCCAACTTCTGCCTCCTGGGTGCTGAGATTAAAGGCCTGCACCACCGTGCCTGACTAGGAGTAGATATTCTTAAAGCTCAATTTTCGAAAGTACTTTCTTTGTACTGCTACCATTTAATAGTTTAGCCCTGAGATATCGCTTCCATAAGCTGTGTTAAAATGAATGTTGTATTGCCTCAGACAGGGTCCATCATATCAGATGGCATTAAGTTTGGGGTGCCACATTTTACAGTTTATATTTATTTATTAATATGTGTATGATGTATGTGTGTGGGTGCATGCATTCCATGGTGTGCATATGGGGGTCAAGAGGAACACTCATGATAATCTGTTCTCTTTATCATGTGTGTTGTGGGGGAAGTGAACTCAGGTAATTAAGTTGGGTGTCATATTTTACCAGCTACGCTATCTTGATGGCCTTGGCTGCCACATTTTAAAGAGATGTAACAAGCTAGATGTGGTCAACCTTTGGAGGCCAGTGAGTGAAGGCCCAGGAAACTTAGAAGACTGAAAAGCAAACAGCAGTAGTGCTTATTAATTTTCAGTGACTATTACAGTTGCCATAGGGATTAGTCTTCTAAATCCACCCAATGTCCATTGATTTGACCATTTGTCAACAAGCAGCCATTGAGAATGTACCTACACGCCAGAAACTATGCTAGGCATGGGTATGTACAATAGAAAAAGTCCTGCCGCAGGGTTGCAGTTCCTTATGAAGAAGCACGTAATAAATGAAGAGGCAGATTGATGATGTGGTCATGCAGGTTAGAAGTATCACCAGGAAACCCGCACTGAAACGTGAATGCTTTTCTGTTTGGGCTGCTACAACAAAATGGTATAAACTGGGCGGTTAGAAACAGACTTTCTTATTAGCTGCACTCGTGAAACAGTCGGCTGCTGAGAATGGAGTCAGAATGGATGGCCCTACAGTGCCCAACAGCATACTGAAACTATGACTGCATAGCCTCGTCTTCCTTAGATTGGGCTGTAGCTGTGCTGATTGTTCACACATGTGATGTCATATCATGTGCACCTTTGAGCTCTCCAGTGGTCCAGGATAAGCTATTGCATGTTTCAACAGGGTACGCTTATAAATGGTAACTGCCTTCATGAATCTGCACATGTATGTGAGTGCACATTGGCATATGTTCTGCTTTCTTCACATGAGAACTAAAAATAATTCCATGATCAGCTCTTCTAGTACTCATCAAAATAAATGCACCATTTCTTAAGTTTTGTCCAACTCAATAGCAAACATCTTTAAGGCTAGTCTAGCACATTGTATACCTTTACAAATATGTATTTTATCTTTTCCATATTTTATACTAAATATGAAAACCTTTGTATTTTACATAGGATCGAAGCCTCTTCCACGCTACGGATTTAAACCGTCCCCACCAAATGGATGTGGCTCTCCATTGTTCGGTGTTCATGTAAATAACTTTTTTTCTTTGATAAGTTTTGCCTTGGGTGGAGGTGCTAGGGAGATGGCTCACTGGGAAAGACTGCATCTGTACAGGGTGGGGACTTGAGTTCGAATCCCCCACACCAACATACAAGCCAGGCATAGCCATGTGGGCCTGTGACCCTAGTGTTGAAGGAAGGAGACAGGCAGAACCTGAGAGCTCTCTAGATAATCTGTAGCCGAAACAGTGGTCCAGGTTCAGTGAGAGACTTTGTCTTAGGGTATGAGGCAGATAGCGATAGAGGAAGACATCCTATATCCTCCTCTGGCTGCCCTCCTGTGGCCCCTGTTCTTCACACACATTCTCACAGAAATAAAGTCAGTAAGAGCCGGGCGATGGTGGCGCACGCCTTTAATCCCAGCACTCGGGAGGCAGAGGCAGGCGGATCTCTGTGAGTTCGAGACCAGCCTGCTGGTCTACAGAGCTAGTTCCAGGACAGGCTCCAAAACCACAGAGAAACCCTGTCTCGAAAAAACAAAATGAATGAATGAATGAATAAATAAATAAGTCAGTAAGAAAGTTAGTTGTGCGTTGTGTTTTGGACAGTTAAAAGTCGTGAAAGTTACTGACAGTTAACTCTGACATTGCAAGATGGAGAATGTGTGGTATGGCTGTAACGGCTGCGTGGCTAAGGGTGGGTAAGGAGAGCTGGGAGAGTCTGACACAGGAAGATTTACCACAGACCTGTAGATGGGGGTGCCTGCGGCAGCCGACAGTAGACCTGTAAATGGGGGTGCTGCGGCAGTCGTCATTCATTTCTGTGAGGTCCGTTGGAATGATCACCAGTGCTGGGAGGTTTGCATCTCAGACAGTAATCCACGGAAATGCCTCCGCAGCTGAACATTGGCATCCCGTCCCTGACAAAGTGCTGCAACCAGCACGACCGGTGCTACGAGACCTGTGGGAAAAGCAAGAACGACTGTGACGAGGAGTTCCAGTACTGCCTCTCCAAGATCTGCCGGGACGTGCAGAAGACCCTGGGGCTCGCTCAGAACGTCCAGGGTAAGGAGGGGCCTGCGGCCGGGACTCAGATTTTTTTTTTTTTTTTTTTGGTGCTATACACATTTTTTTTAATTTTTATTTATTTATTAAAGATTTCTGACTCTTCCCCGCCACTGCCTCCCATTTCCCTCCCCCTCCCCCAATCAAGTCCCCCTCCCTCGTTAGCCCAAAGAGCAATCAAGTTTCCCTGCCCTGTGGGAAGTCCAAGGACCACCCACCTCCATCCAGGTCTAGTAAGGTGAGCATCCAAACTGCCTAGGCTCCCACAAAGCCAGTTCGTGCAGTAGGATCAAAAACCCATTGCCATTGTTCTTGAGTTCTCAGTAGTCCTCATTGTCCACTATGTTCAGCGAGTCCGGTTTTATCCCAGGCTTTTTCAGACCCAGGCCAGCTGGCCTTGGTGAGTTCCCGATAGGACATCCCCATTGTCTCAGTGTGTGGGTGCACCCTTCGCGGTCCTGAGTTCCTTGCTTGTGCTCTCTCTCCTTCTGCTCCTGATTTGGACCGACTCAGATGTTTTTAATATTGCAGTAAACACACACGTGCTCATTGTGAAAAGCATACCAAAGGAGCTTCTTGACATTCATCAGCTGTTAGGATACAACCTCTTCAGTGCCTGGAGTGAGGATCTAGCCGGTTGTTTGGTAATCTAAAATTATACACATCTGAGAAAACTTGGAGGCAGAGAAGGGAAGAATTCATGTACCTTGTGCCCTAGAATATGTATCGAATCATTCCAAAGCTAAACATTGAAGCCTTGAAGCAGGTTGGCATAGGGATGCTGTAATCAAATGTAATAGATTGAAGTTGGTTATAGGCAACAGAACCCTCTATAGCCAGATCTGGTCAGCTAGTCACTAACTCCGCCGTCTGATTCAAGGTAAACTTTATTGTCAGTCTCAGAGTGTCAGTGAGAACAAACCCCACAACGATAGACAGTCTTAGCACCAGTGAATTTGAGAGTGCAGTACAGCTGCTAGATCGACAGCTCATGTGCGTGATCCCAGAACTCAGGAGGCTGCATGTTGCTCGGCTTTTCCTCGGGATGTGTAGAGAAACATCTGTTCATACTAGATAGGGCACCAGTAACAGACCAAAGAAACGGGTTCATCAAAGTCCAGCTTGGTTAGCCGGTGAGTTCAGTGAGGTTCCTTACAGGAACACAGGTGACGTCACTGGAAGCTCCACTCCAGCATGGGTGACGAGAACTTGGGAATGCTGCTTCATCAGAGTCCCGAGCCCCAGTCCACCTTCCACTTCATGTGCACACTTGCGTCCGTAGGACCAAGTACAGCTGGGATGCACACGGAAAAGGTGGCTGGAGTCTCAGGGAGGGCACGTTACCAGCCCCTCTACTGTCACCACAGAGCAGCTAACACTATATTGTTTTGCTTATTTTACGGTCACGACAGCAGTCTCCACCCCATGATGACTGATGGTCAAGTCAGGTCCAGAGAAAACAGCTTCACAACAATGCTGCACCCTTCAGCTCTTGGATTCTTTCTGCTCTCTCTTGCTCCCCTTACTGTTTTGTGATATTTTCTGAGCCGTGGAGAGGTGAGAAGTGCGTGGGCACACATGCACATACAGACAGTTCTTTTCTGAGAGTGGGTCTCAATGCCATGGCAGCAGATACTTATCCTCAGCGTTTGGCCAGTTATGAGACTCAACAGTAAGCAGTACTCACTGTAAAAATAAGCCTTCCTCCATGAACAAAGCACACAGCAGCAAAAATCTGTGGGCATCGACAAGAATGAGCATGCAACTGGCAATTTAACAAGCACATCTCGTCCATTTAACAAAACAGCATTGCTCTGCACAGTGCAGCCTGCGATTTCCCCCGGGGTTTTGCCTTGGCTTGCATACCAAACATGAATTCCCTGTGTGTGACAGGCCTTAAATCTGATCAGAAAGTACTTGGTTGTGCCCATAACAACTATACCATAGGGCATCAGCAGGCACATCTTACATGGCATGTTCGTGGCATTAGCACAGAGAGCCATACCAAAGCTGAACAGTTTTTGACAATACTTCCCTAGCAGGCTATCACGTTCTGGCCTGCATATGTTAGCCATCAGATAAGAAACTTCCAGACTGCTCCCAACCCGATTTCATCATGTCTGATAAAGCCCAGCAATAGGGCTTTCTATCCAGTTATGGCATGTGACAGAAACAGGGCAGTGGAAATGATTCCACCCCAGTCTAGAGTGGTGAACCAGTAAGCTTGCTGGTGTAACTTACAGGGACATGGGTGAGTACTCTAAAGTACCCGTCCTCCCTAGAGCAGATGACGACTCACAAGAGCTGCATCGCTGAAGTCCCAGCCTCCAGTCAGCCTTGTCCTAAGCCGAGCTGAAGTGTCTTTGGAAATATAAATGTCTGTTGAAGTAGGAGCATTTATACGACTTTCCACTGGAAAGCCAAAGAATGCACTCTGCAATAAAGTCAGAAGTGGCAAAGAGAAAGGCAGGAAAGAAGCCAGGCGGTGGTGGCACACGCCTTCAATCGCAGCACTCGGGAGAGGCAGGCAGATCTCTGAGAGTTCGAGGCCAGCCTGGTCTAGAGAGAGAGAGTTTTGGACAGGCTCTAAAGCTATAGAGAAATCCTAAAACAAACAAAAAGGAAGGAAAGAAAAGTAACATTTTAATGTATTTTTCTTAAAATATTGTGCTAGATAATGTTTTCATTTTTTCTTTGGGTGCTCACAAAAACAAAAAACAAACAGACAAAAAACCAAGTGCTAGACAGGATGCCTGTGTCTTTCAGGGAACTTGTCCCGAGTAGATTGAATGACTTTGAGCTCATGCTCTGGCTATTGCCTGCTCATGCTGTAGATCTGATTCTGAAATCCCAGGAAAACCTGTCCAGGAAGAGGTCTCTGCAGCAGAGGAAGCCTGAATTTGCCCTTTCACCCACTAGTCTGCTTTTGGCTACAGTAACAAACTGAACCTTGTTTTTTCCCTCGAAGAGACAGAGAAGTGGAGCCAAGTGCCTTGCAGTTCAGTGTGCCTTTCTCTCTCTCTCTCTCTCTCTCTCTCTCTCTTTTTTTTTTTTTTTTTTTTTTTTTTGTGCTCAGAATGGCACAGTCTTTTGAAGAACTTTAAAAAGGACAAGTTTTAGAGCAAGATTCTTCCTTCATGTGAATATCTGAAGAAGGTTGCTTGGGCTGCTGAAAGCTATTTTGTAGTTTAGCCCTGTGAGTTTCTTAGAATTGGAAAGGTAAGTTGGTAGCTTTATTATAGTCTTAAAAATTTTTAAACATACCAGGAGAAACGACTTTGGATTCCCATGAGCATCCATCCTGAAGCCAAACTTTAGAATAGGTCAAAGAAAGAGAATGGGTACCATTTAGTATGAGCATCTTCAATACATGTGATCAGTTCTTAGGAGCCGCTGGTCATAGTGATGCCTTGAGGTTTCTGAGATTTTTTTATTTGCTTTTTTCAAAAAAAATTATTAAATGTGTGTGTGTGTGCATGCATGCACATAGGCCACAGCACACGTGTGTACGTGTATGTACATAGACCACAGCACACATGTGGAGGTCAGAGGACACAGCCCATGGGGGATGGTTCTGACCTAGTGCCTTTGCCCAGAGTCATGTCTCCAGCCGGAGGTTTCTCTTTAAAGCTTCTTTCTAAGACCGAGGATACAGCGTGTGCTTAGCATGTTAGAGGCCCCAACCTCACTCTCCAGCAGCAACAGCAGCAGATCCTCACTTACCATGTAAACTCTGCCATTGTCAGACATCATTATTGGGGTTACATTTCTCAGCTAAAACAAAAACTAACACTGATGACCCCATTTGTGTTTCATAAAGGTTATTACTTGTCTATAAAAAATTGTTCTGAACAATTGAAATGGAGCATACATTCATATATATATATATATATATATATATATGAAGTGGAAAGAAAACAGATCTAGTATGGTGGGTTGCTGGTGTGAGGGACTGGGATGACTTTGACCTCCTACATGTTTGGGTGCACACTGAGGTATATAGTACAATTAATAAAAATCCAGAGACAGATATTAGGGTTAAACTTGAAGACCAGAAAAACAAAGCAGCCAGCCACTGGCTCTTACCTGTACCTCAGTCCAAAAATGGTGATCCTGCCTCCAGGAATCCTCAGAATGAGACTGACTGAGAGCTGTCTTGTCCTGTCTTATATTCCTCTCTAGTTTTGGGATTAAAGGTGTGCACCACTACTGCCTGGTTACTATTGCAAGGCAGTGTGGCTACTGGGATTAGAGGCGTGTGTTACCACTGCCTGGTCTGTGAGGCTGACCAGGGCAGCTGTTTTACTCTCTGATCTTCAGGCAAGAGTTATTTATTAAAATTCAGATGAAGTACCACTACACTGAGGGGTGTGGCCTGTGCTGCACCAGATACAGAGGTGGGGACAGAGCGTGCTCGGCTCCTGCCCAACAGTGATGACATGTCTTGACCCTGCAGCGTGTGAAACAACGGTGGAGCTCCTGTTTGATAGTGTCATACATTTGGGCTGCAAGCCATACCTGGACAGCCAGCGAGCCGCATGTTGGTGCCGTTATGAAGAGAAAACAGATCTGTAAGGAAGCCCCTGAAGCTGGTGGGCAGACGAGAATGAAGGACAGTCAACAAACTGATGTGTTCACCACCTGAAACCACCTCGTTTTTGGAATAGGTCATTGTAAGACCTTCCTAGACTGTGTTTTGATTTTAAAACTTCACAGTGAAAAGGAGTGGAGGGTGGGAAGAAGTAGAGAGAACAGCATGCTTGCCTTCATGGACCTTGCTGTCAGTGGCTCCCCCAAAATGGCAAGAAAAGCTTGAAGACTGTGTGACTTGGTTTTCATAGCTGTACTTTACAATAAAAATGAGAGCAAATGTAAAATTCATTGTAAGAACTTTCCAACATTATTTTGAAATATAAATAATTAGACGTATTATTTACTTTGAAATTTCAAATATGCACTTACGCCAAGAGGAAGTAACTACTGTTTCTCTGTTTTAATTATGCATTAGGTGGTGTTTCTCTAGAACCTTCTGAGATAGGATGCATTGTGTTGCTATGGTAACAAGGCTCCAAGTGTGCATTGCTTATACAGTTGGGACCGTCAGCTGGTACTTCTCTTCAGGGACAACCCAGGACATCTCAGTATTGTGATGCGAACAATATTAAGAAACATAACACTCCCTTTTCACAAACCAGTTCTAACAAATGTCATCTTTTGCTACGAATTCTAGAAAAGATGGATGTAGTGAGGCAAGTCAGAGCACCATGTGCTGTCAGGTTTGATGTTTCGTCCCTAACACCTCTTCCTCAGCTTATATTCTGGAGTATTTTTGAAAGAGCTCTTAATAAAAGTTATTCTTGATAATGTTTTTTTTTCTTGATTATTTCTTGAGTGTTTTCAGATCTTTCCTTGTGGAATCAAAGAATATGGGAAAGGCGAAGTAGAAGGAACTGTCTCTTGGGACCTTTTACTTACACTGAAAATTAATAGGTGTGCAAGCGGATCCCAGAAAGCCTTGGCTGTCTCTGTAAATGCCTATGAATGCTGGGAATGTTGTGATGGCCTCAGAATGTTCGGCCATACTGGCCATTGACTGATGATCTTCTCCAATCTTTTGAGTAACATATGACTTGAGCAAACGAACACAGCAGGGCCTATAGGAGGAGGTCTCCTCTCTACAGGTGCGTGTTAATGGAACAGTGACATGGCAAAATCTATAGGAGGACGTCTCCTCTCTATAGGTGCGTGTTAATGGAACAGTGACATGGCAAAGTCTATAGGAGGACGTCTCCTCTCTATAGGTGCGTGTTAATGGAACAGTGACATGGCAAAGTCTATAGGAGGACGTCTCCTCTCTATAGGTGCGTGTTAATGGAACAGTGACATGGCAAAGTCTATAGGAGGACGTCTCCTCTCTATAGGTGCGTGTTAATGGAACAGTGACATGGCAAAGTCTATAGGAGGACGTCTCCTCTCTATAGGTGCGTGTTAATGGAACAGTGACATGGCAAAGTCTATAGGAGGACGTCTCCTCTCTATAGGTGCGTGTTAATGGAACAGTGACATGGCAAAGTCTATAGGAGGACGTCTCCTCTCTATAGGTGCGTGTTAATGGAACAGTGACATGGCAAAGTCTATAGGAGGACGTCTCCTCTCTATAGGTGCGTGTTAATGGAACAGTGACATGGCAAAGTCTATAGGAGGACGTCTCCTCTCTATAGGTGCGTGTTAATGGAACAGTGACATGGCAAAGTCTATAGGAGGACGTCTCCTCTCTACAGGTGGGGTGTGGATGGAGCCTGACTGGCTCCGAGTCTGGGCAACTTGGAAGCCAGAGGCTAGAGGCCACTCTCAGCAGTCTCTTATGGCAGGGACCACTTATGAGTGGTCCAAAAGAAAAGAAAAAGAAAGAGAAAGGAAAATCCTGGGCCCTGAATCGAATGTATCGCACTGCGTGTGCAATGTTAGCGTGGGGGGACCAGCCCTGGGAAGGTTTTTAGGCAGAGTCAGAGGGAAGCCATGGAGTCACTGCTGGAGACAGACCAGCTGAAACTTTGTTGGTAGGCCACAACCTTGTGGTGATGCACAGATTACTAGAAATGGGTTAAATTACGATATAAGAGTTAGCCAATAAGAAGCTAGGGCTAATGGGCCAAGCAGTGATTTAAATAATACAGTTTCTGTGTGATTATTTTGTGGCTGAGCAGCAGGGACCCAACAAGCGGCCTCCTCACAACAGAGGATGTTATTAGGACAAGTGACTATCACTAAGCCCAGCCCTCTTCACTTGTCACTCAAATGGGACCCCAGTGATTTGCAGACAAGTGTTTGGGAAAAGGAAAACACTTTATTCAGTAAGCCAGCAAGACTGAAGACACAGTAGACGTGGTAGACCGGCAACGGTCAGACAGCCCACTTTTATTTTTGTGGAAATGGTGGCTTTAGGACTAGTTGAGGGCAGAGGCTGTGTTATCTGCAGATAACCTGCAGATGCCCAAAGCCTGCTTTTAGCAGGGATGAGACTGTGCACATGCGTCAGCTTGCCCTGCCCTTTAAAGACCCCCTGGACCACCACTATCTTCGGTCTCCGGGAGCATTGCAGTCATGCACACGCATGCACCCGGCCCTCACTCCCTATCAGCCATGTATGTTGAAATAGGAGCGGCGGGGCTGCGTCCCCAACACCCCGGCCGCTTGGCTAGCTCATGCCCGAAATAACAACACACAAGTGTTCATTTAAGAACTGCTTGGCCCATGAACTCTAGCCCTTACAGGCTAATTCTCGCACCTGGACTAGCCCATTTCTAATGATGTGTGTAAGCACCCCAAGGTGTGCTTACCGGGAAGATTCTAGCCTACGTCCATCATGGGTCTCAGCTTCATGCGTCTACCTCAGTGCGCAGAGCTATCGCGTCTACCCGGGAGAGCTGAGCATGGCGTCTCTGCTCCAGCAGAACTGGTCTCTCCGGAAGCAGAGCAGAGTCTGACCTCACTTCCTCTTCCGCCCAGCATCCTATTCTGTTTATTCCACCCACCTATGTTCTAAGCTATGAGGCCAAGCAGTTGGTTTATTATAATTAACCAATTACCTTCCTCCATCACATGTACACATACATGATTAAATAGTATAATAAAAGAGCTCCAGCCAACTGGCAACTCCTTCACATTTTTATCATCTCTAGTTGGTTACTTTTTAAACAACAAGATGGACACACAGTAGGTACACCAGTGAGGACACAGGAAAAGCGTCACCATCACCCACAAACCCTCATCCTTCTAAGAATTTCTGCGCACACTTTGCCAAATTACTTCTACTTTTGGAAGCCAGATTTAAACATCCAGGAATTGGTAGAGTGCTTGACAAGCATCCAAGAAGCCTGGGGGTGGTGGTGCAAGACAGCACAACACGAAGTGTGGAGGCAGGAGGATTAAGGTCATAGGAGCTCAGCTACCGGACAATCAAGGAAGGAAGGAGGAAAAAAACGGAGGGAGGGAAAAGAAGGCCGAGGAGTTGCCTTCAGTTCTGTTTGGCCGAAACCACCTGTCCAAACAAAAAGCATAAGAAGTAAGTTATTGCAAGTTATCTAAAGTAACTGGCTGCAGAGAAGCTCTTGCCGCTAAAGCAAAACACTAGACGTGGCGAACAGCAAAAGGCTGCGGGTGTGGGGAGGGCGAGTCCCCTAGCCTGGTCGTGAAGCAGTGGTGGGCAGCGGTGTCCTAACCTCCTCCATCTCCACATACACCCCCCCCCCCATACACACACGCACACACACGCACACAAGAGCAGGCGTGGGAGAGGAGGCTCGGTGGCGTCCTGGCGTTGCCGGGGTGACGGAGGTTCCCCCCCCCCTTGGCGAGGCGGAGGCGGTCCCTGGGGCGGGGTGGGGCGGGGCTGGGCTGCCAGGAAGCGAGGGACCTGCGGAGCAGCGGCTAGAGGGATTGAACACCCGGAGCTCGCCCGCTGGTAAGTGTTGGCATAGGTGGGGACGCGGGGCGAGCGGCGGTCTCCCGGGTCTGGAGGGACTGGTAGAAGTTGCGGGATTGCGGAGCTGCGCGGTGGCGGACGTAGCTGTGTTTGCCCAGGCTAATCCTGCAGAGCGCCTTTGTCCTCCAGTTCCGCAACCTCTGGGCTGTTTAAACTTTAAAGGGCGGCGCTTGCGCCGTGCGGCGGCGGAGAACTTGGCTTTGCAAGTTGAATCCTGTTTTGCTCCGCGCTTCTGCCTGAAAAGTGGAGGGAAATGACTGTCCAGGGCTCTGGGTACAGGTCTGAGGGAGCTGGGCTCAACCACAAACAAGGATCAGACCTGGGCAGGCAGTTGCCTTCAGCCTGCAAACCTGTTGCTGCCCGGCCGTGTTTTAGCCCCAAATAGCTTTTCTCCATAGAGCGATAAATGCTACTAATCGCTTCAGAACAGGCTTCCTGTCGTCTACCAAAACTAGCACTAGTTAAGGTTAGAAACTTCAAGTTTGATTGGTCTTTAAGGTCGACCAGAGGCGGCCTTTTCAGAGCTCTGTCCTTACTCCAGAGGCAAGCTGTGAAAGTCCCCATGGCCGGGCAGAGAGTGGCCCTGGCGAACATACAGGATCTGATGGCCTTCTCCAGCTTAGTAATGAGTGGTGAGGGGTGGGAAACCAGGTGTGTGTGTGGTGGGGGAGAAGTGTTCCGATCCCCTCTCCCTTTTGTTTGATTCTTTTTCTCCCAACGCCCTTCCTTCTAGGGAGGAGGTGAGTTACTTCTTGTAGGTTATTGACAAGGAATATGGGTAGATTCTCCTGATAGCTAGTTTGGAGAATGACCTCCAGTGGAGTACCTGTGACAGGCTATACAGGCTTTGGATTCCACCAGCGGACTTAGCCTTCAGTTTCCTCAGAGCCGACCTTAGGCAGGTCCCGCCCACGTTCTGCATTCTTGGGTTTGGAAGTAGTAAGAGATATAGTGTCCACAGTTT